TGCCATCACTCCCAACAGCAAGACTGTTTTGAATACTCCTCCCTTCTCTTTCCATAGGAAGATGATTGTCCAAAGCTTAATTGTTTTGCTTATGTACAAGAGTAAAGAAATGAAAAATGCACAACAGATATTTGCAGCACATTTTATAAACACTAAACTACATATTGAAAAGTGATTGATTTAAAAAAAATTCTGCACACGCCAAAGGCATAGCCTTTATATTTGCCATTGAAGTGCTGTATTTTTGAGGAATACTGAATTTGGTAATGTGAGGAGATAAAGAGCTAAGCCTGCATTTCCTTATGATATGTAGCTCTGAGATATAATATATGGTTACTGGAAGAAAAGTGTAATCCCATTAAATAGAATTTGTAAAATTTTGTTAAAATTGTGTCATTTACTGAGTGCAGTAGTGGGAGGGCTGTTATTCACTGGAGGGCTCCAGAGAAGGCCAGTCATCAGCTGCTGGCTTCTCTTGCTTTCAGCTGCTCGACTCTAGTAATTTTTTTTTTTATGTGACTATTTCACAACTGCATCTGCTGCCACCGCTCTAAACTCAACAAGGAATGGGGAACAGTAAACCAAAATTGTTTCTATAGTGAATTGAAGGACATGACTGCCCGTGGAAGTCTTTCTTGAATAAATTATGGTCTACAGGGAAGAAGATTGCTCTTTGAAAAAAAGATTGCTCTATTGCTCTTGTGAAGAGCAATAACCATTTTTCAAGTAGATTCACGTGACTGCACTTGGTACAAGTTGAGCAATTTTTGCCATCTCTACTGTCTGAGTAGCAACACTGAGGTTTTCACTGTCTGTGGAATTCAAGAGAATATGCAAAATAGCATCTCAGTCCCTTAGATGTCACCCATTCTGGAAGATAAACAAATCCCGTACACTGGTGTGAAAAAATAAAACCAGCAACTTTACAAAAAGAATGCTACTTTTATTTTCAAATGCTGTAAAAAGCCTCATATAAATTTTTATAATGCTTCTAAGTAACTTTCCCAACCACAGCTAATGAAACAGTCTAGGAAAAATATAGCAGTTGCCATTTCGACTCCAAGAACGAGCTGCTGTAATATATCAACATTAAAAGGACAAGGTACAGTATGTTACAATGCTTGTAATTGCTCATATTATTGAAAAAGTGAGAGCACTTCCTAAGCATTAGAGTATAACCGGGCTAAACTGCAGTATTCCCTACTTGCTGTTGCAGAGGAGGAAAGTCACCCCTTCAGGGGGAGCCGACACAACACCCTTTGTACTGCTTGTGCCCTTTTATCTTCGTAGTGTGGAGAGCTTTCAGCAAGCCCCTTTGCACTTCGGTGAATTCACCCCTGTCAGATGCTATTATTCCATACTGTATCCAACGGCTCAGGTGTTTTAACAATTGACCTATAAAAATAACACTTATATAACTCTCCAGCAAGGCAAATTTAACAGTGCAAACACGGTATCAACAATACTTGATTTCTGAATGCTGGCAATTTTTTTTTTTTAACTCCTTTTGCACATGAAACAAGCTTTGCCGATGTCCTGTACCTAAGGCCACTCACTCACGCTGACTGGAGATGGAACAAAGTGCAAAAGCTCAGCTGCGCTTCCCAATCCAAGCTTCCTCCCCAGTTTCAGGGTATTCGGATCCAAAATTCAGATTCAGGCTCACCACTTCCATCGAAGCACTCAAGTTTTCCCTGCTGGAATAGGTTAACTTCCCAGCAAACCTCTGATAACAATTTGCATACACAATTCCACATTTTAACAGAAGTTAACAAAACATACTTCCAGAAAATAAATTTTCACATGGTTGCAATCATCAAGCCATTTCAGGATCTTTGGTACTCCAAGAATAAGAAAAATAAATGGCACAGTGACAAACATTGCCAAAGGAAAACACACAACCATCCTAAGGAAGACAACAAAAAATAACAAAAACAGAAGATATGTTGCACTTCCATTTTTTGAAAGCCAGTGTAGATTAACCGTCTGTTCTCTTTAATCCATTACAGTGTCACAGTTTCACCTTTTAAAAAAAAAAATTATCCTAAAAGCAGTAGTTAATATTTTAACTTGACTTACTGATTAAAATAATGCTATGTTTAAAAAAAACAAACAACAAACTACCACAATACAGGAGTTTATGCTAAATAGGCAGCAGGCTGTTTCCCTATGGATATAACTCCTATGTGAGCACTGATATGATTAATCATCCGCAATTTTAAATGAGTATTAACTTTAGTGTTACAAATATAAGGGTTGAGCTTTTTCCCAAGTTTGTAAACCAGTGAGTATGTACATAGTTGTTTAATAGATAGCTTTAAATTAAGTTTGTATTTATCTCCCCTCCCCCAAAGCCCACAGGAAGAAAAATAGTCACCAGTATTACTGAGCATTTGCAGTTTCCATGAAACTTATCTTGTCTTAGCAAGTTCAAGCAAAGACTTTGTTTTGTATTACGCAAATAGGGTTACTGTGGTCTGTTGAAATGTGTTGTTCACAAGAATTCCACTTCTGATGCACACAGTACCCCACGAATGAGATTGGAAATTAAAACTAATAAAAACTCTCTTTTAAATAGCAGTATCCTTTGAGGCAAAGTATGCATCTTGGATATTTTCTGCCCAGACTCCTCTGTCGTGGTAGAATGGATTGAAGGCCTTAGAGCAAAGGAATTTCCTTTCCTGAGAAGCCTCAGAAGCTGCTAGGGCACTGGCAGAATGAAGTCTGAAAGTGTCAAGGTGGATTTAAGCGAGTTACTGTTTTTTGGACACTTCTGATGGCTACACATTGAGCTTCACCCCATCGACAAGGCTAAGAACAAGACTGGAGAATTTCTGAGGAATCTTGCCCCAATGGCAGTAAAGAGGTGTTAATTAGTGTAAGGTCTCAGAAGAAAAACTGGGAGATCAACAAGCCATTCCCACAAGTCCAGCATTTAGGCAAAAGTTTAGCTAAGCCACGTTCTTATAGAACATTGTATAAACTTGATGGGCCCTGAGGCACTAGCTACTCCTCTCCGATGAGCTCAAGACTAAAATTTTTTTATAAATGCAGTATAAATAACCAATATTAGATACTTGAAGGGAGACAAAATATTGGAGGAAAGACATTACTGAAGCCCTTGAGGAACCTAGTAGCCACTGGATCAGGGAAGACTACATGCGCATCAGTAAGCCACTGATGCACAGAAATCTTGCTGGTAAATGGTCTTTTATGCAGCTGATGAACACCCCAGTGTGTTTTTAAAGCATACAAATAATTCAGAAAGGCTGATACCATGGTGCCTAACAGCAATAAATATTTCTATAATGGCTTTATAAATAGTCACTCCCATTTTGCTGCAAAAGCCAGTCTAATGGAGTCTTTCCTACTGTATGCCAAAACATCCTGTGCTTCACTCCCATGGGCACTGCAGAGGTTTTAGAGTGCCTTTCACTTGCGTTCAGAGGAGGAATACAGCAACAGTGGCTCTGCTTGTTCAGTTACTGGGGAATTGTTCATTAATGCAAATTTCTTTTGTAACCAGAAAATGACATCAAAGATCGCTACTGTATTGTGAGAGATTCAAAAGATAATATGCTAGTACAGGTAGAGATACAGATAATTTTGCCAGCGGCCAGATAATTGCAAAATGTTCAAGGAGCGCAATTCAGTCCTGAACTACTGCCAGGCTGAGAAGCAAAACCATACCCTGCATATGGAGGGATTTCTGCTTCAGTTTCCTCGACCTGGGAGAAGGAGACCCGTCTCTGCTTTCAGTCTGTCACCATCCGGCAGACTGGGGAGAACAGCATTTAGATGCTCTACCCAATTCAGTCGTGGTCATTTGTGGTTCCTGAAAACTGGGGTGCAGCCTTAGCTGATCCTTTGTAATCCCATGGTCCACATTAGATGGGGATACTAGAAGAAGATGGAGCCCACAGGAGAGTCTGAGTCTAGTGGGGCATTCCATTTCCTCTAGCTTGGCAGAGGCTGCTACAGGGTATTCTGGAAAGAAAAGGCTAGAGCAGCATCCCTTCTGCCTGGAACTTAGGGAGACAAAAAAGAAAAAGCAGGAATTTGATCACTTTTCTAGAATACATTTTGCACAGATAGAAAAGGCTATTTGAATTATGAGTAGCAAAAATGATCTGCTTTACAGCAGAGGCAGGATTGCAGTCCTGGAAACTCTGCCATCTCTTCAGTGCTTAGTAGCAGAAAGTTTCCCTTCTGTTAAAAATCTTTGTAATTTTTATTCAGATTCCTTTTTTTTTCCTTCTGACATTGGCAACAGGCATCATCATCTTAAATAGTAGTATCCACCAACTATCGTTTGAAGGAGAAATACCACTACATAGATCACAGGGACTGTCTCACCAGCACACACAGTGGAAAAAAGCAGAACGAGAAGGAGGGATGATCGGCTGATAAAGCAGTCCAGTGGGGAGAAGCGAGGGTAGGCAGGGTACAAGTAGGCCCACAGGACACTGCTATTATTTAAAATAATTCAATGTTGCCACACTCATGGGGTACCGGCAGACCACAACTGGAACACCCTTGAGCAACTGCTCAGAGAATTTTGCAAATCTGGGCAATGGGTTTTTTTATACTGCATATCTAAAACCCACCAGGTAAGCAGTATAATAATAATGCTGCATAAAATGATATGTTTTACTCCTGGGTGGATTAGATGGTTTACAGTACAAACAAAGCCACAGTGCAGAGAGGCATAATTAACCGTTATACACACATAGGCAGTGCAGTTAAAGGGATGTACGTTCCTTTTATTCCAGTACCTTTGTATAATAAAGTTAACAAAAATATTCAAATATTAAAAAAAAAAAGCCAGCTGGCACTGCCAACTAATTCCTGTAGTAGTCTTAGAAATCCTAATCCTGTAGAATTTCCTTGCGAAATTGATGCGCACCAGAGTCAATGTATTGATAACTAATGCCAAGCGGGTCTGGTGATGCAGCTACCTGAGGTTTGTATTTATTTCTTTTGTGGGTTTGTGTTTTGTTTCACAACTTCCCAGCTTTCATGTAGGAAGGGATTGAGCCACGCTGCGTGAGCCCTTCAAACCTCTTGTACGTATAATTGAGGAAAACCCAGTCTTTGGATTTGTAGTCAGGTTCCGTTGTGTTTGGCACTAGAATTCAGAAACAAAAGTAAAAACAAAACAATTAAAACCAGCGCTGCTTCTGAGAGGACTTTTCACAGAGCATTGACATCAACAGCCCTGAACTCTTATTTCCATCATCAACAGATATTCCTTGCAGAAATCCTGTTTCTAATCAGGTCAGCTGCTTTTTGTCAATGATCTGAGCAGAGTTACAATTTCAGCATATATCTCTGAAGTGGAAAAAGGTTTGTTTTTTTGTTGTTGTTGTTTGCTTGGGTTTTGGAGTTTTTTAGTGTGTCTACACACAGGAACAGGCTCCCATACCTTGGCAGGAACCTCTAAAACACCCACAGGATATACAATTACAAAGCCTGTAACATTTAGGATGCTCCATGCACAAACGCATATATACATATTGTGTTGTCCTCACCACAAACAGAGGAAAAAGCTGTATCCAAGTTCTCCCAAATTACACATATCATGCACATATTACTCTCCTAGGACTTCCTCTCTGCTTCTAGCTTCAGCAAGGCTTGCACAGCCTCCCTTTATTTTATGAACAGCCCACATGGCTGGCGTGCTGCACATGGACATTCACTGCAGTGGGCTTCTATATTTAGCTCTCTGGTTGCTGCTTTTAGAGTTCTAGAACAATATTTTCAACTCAAGATGCCAAAACCCACCGATATCAAAGTTTGTGTTTAGGTACCTAGATGTAGAGTAACATTTTCAGTGGGTCTGAAATGCTGAAATGAATACAAATATAGTTGGCCTTATCCAAATATGGACTTAAACAGCTTAACTTAGGCACTGGAGATTAATTGCTTCTGCATTAAAAGGACAAACTTCCTTGCCATTAAATAAAAAGTCATTTCAGAAAAAAACCCCAGCTTTTTGATAATTCTTATGGTTGCTAGCACATCTACACTTATCTGTCATCAATTAAGCATTGTTATGCATCTGTCTATCTGTAAGCCATTAATAATTAATTGAAAACAGTAGGAGCTGGGAGAATTTGGCATGTCAGAGAATCAAGCCTTTTATGTATAAAAATTTCCTACTACTTGCCAATAGAAATTAACAATTAAAAAAAACTTAAATGATTTGCAGAGCCACTCCAGTTCATAAATCCCTATGATAAATAATCACCTGTCTGAAAATTTTTGCCCACAAATATGTGAACATTTATGTTTGGCATGAAACTCCAAAGTCATTAAAGATCAAAAGCAAATCAGTGCATAATGTTTTACCAGAACCTGGTTAGACACACCATATGGTAAAAAACTGTACTGTTTTCTGTGCTCATTATATACGCAAGCCATTTTTACTAACAGATTTAACTGTTAAAATCTGTGGGCTTTTTTTTTCCTCCAAAGTTTTAAGGAAGTAGAAGCTATGACAGCGCATAGGTTTGCATTTATACTTGAAAGTAAGTCTCTAGATCAAGTCTGTATATTACCTTGATTAGGGTATCAGAAAAATTAAAATAAACAACAACAACAAAAGCATCTGTGGAGTATTCTGGCATGTCATAGATAGAAATTTGGAATTTACAATGGCAGTCTCACCTGGCTGTAAAATATCAGATTCAGGAAATTCATCAAAGTTGGAAGTATCATCAATACTTTTGATTTCTATAGGGATTGCAGCTGGTCTTTCCCTGCAAATAGAAATAAATGCCAGAATAGTGAATACCAGGAAAAGATACATTAAGTTCCAGTTTTGTTTAACGTAGCTTTTTACAGTTACAAGATTCCTTTAATTTAAAGCACAAAGGTTCCACCAAGTCCAGAGATGGATCTGACTTGCCTGTGTGCTGACATCATGAGGTGATTTATTGGTTTCCTATCTAGCATTAGCATCTTCTTGGCAAACTTGGGGAAAACATCATTTTCCCATTAATTGGAACAGCATTCCACACTTATCTGCCACATAGCTATCGTTATGACCTTGGTTGTAGATCTCACCTTTGTTTCATAAACCCTGCCTACCCAGCTGAGCAGGATTTTACTTGCGTTTGGAGCCATCAGATGCTTTACAATTCCAGCGCTCATCAGCCTGGACCTCATCCAAATACCTTTCGACTGTAGCTCCGATTTCTGACACTCAGCCACCAGTATCCCTCATCCAAAACAAGTTGGCTGACACGTTACTGCTCTATTAGCTCAAGAATTAGGCAGCCCTTTAAGAAGTTTTAAGGTGGCTTTCAAAGTTGCTTAAGTGATCTGTGCCACGAAAGCATTCAAACTGGAACATGGAATGGTGGGAAAGTCATTAATTTACACCTGTAGACTTAATACAGTTGTAATTATTACAATTACATCCACATCTGGGTGGAACTGGGAAACCTTTTTGCCAGGTTGCCAAATGCAGCACAAACAGGTATGTTACTGCTCTTGCTGCTTATGAATGTCTCCCACATTGAAAAGATAAGTGAAATGAGGCTGGCTGCACCAGAGGAAATGAGAAGTACAGGAGCTGGACAATCACCTGCCCACAGCATGGATTTTCACGTAGAAAACTGTAGTATTACTGAAAGAGCAGACTACCTCAAACCTTAAAGAGCAGTAAAGCTGAACAGTAGCCATCATTTCAGCTGAAAGTACCTGTGGGGCTACCAAAATCTGCTCTAAGAGCTTTACCACTTTGGGTACATGCAGATGTAGCTCAGCACCTGCAGGCACAAGCTCAGGCTGGAACCGGTACGGCTGCCTCCGATGGGCCCCTCTACCCAGGCTTGGTCCAGCAGAATTTGGCCACAGAGGCTGTGACTCTGAGGTGAGTCAGTGCCTCTGCCCAGCGCTCTGTAGACATACCAGTTCACTCAGGTGTAGTATCTGCAGCGTGCAGTAAAGACATGCCCTGTATTTTCCTCCTACTTGCTACCTCTCCTCTTCATTCATTTATTTTCCCTGTGGTTTTGGAATAGAGTTTGCTTTTCTCATGCTCCTATTACAAAAAAAGTCAATTACAGAAGAGCTGCAGAGCCCATTACTACTGGAAAGGAGCTCTCTGCTGATACCAGAGCACACATCAGGAATAACACAGCCACCCTACCACAATTTCTTTCCATCCTGGGCACTCTGAGGCAAGCTGAGGCATCAAGAGAGTTAAACTCTGATCAGATGTATGAATGTCAGCAAAGCCTGAAAACTTTCACTGTCACCCACCTACTGCCTTTCAAAATGAAAGATAAATTGGAAATAATTATCCTTTGTATCATAGTACATGAAATTCTTGCTTTTATTCTCTCTATAAAATGTGTGTATATATATACCTGATATGTCCCCAGTCCACGCCTTCAAAAAACGGATGACTTTTTATTTCCTCTACTCCATTACTACCAATTCTATTTTCTGAGTCAATACAAAACCTGAAAAAGTGGAAAAAATAAAGGGAATGTTACAATAAATGCAGACAAAAGCAACAGCAAATAAAACCGCCGTGGTATCCTGTATCACAAATTTGAGGAAGTTCTTTCAAATTGTCGCATCACTTGGGGTAACGTAAAAGCAGCCCGTTGCATCTAGGAGAGAAGGGAAATAGTAGAAGCAGAATATTGTTTGAGTTCCAAAAGAAAACCCTATGATGACAGTAACTTAAATCTTTTCTAAATTGTTGCATCCCTATCTTCGAGGTTTGTGAAAAGTTGCTGCAAGTTCTAGCCCTGTAAGATTAGTATGGAGGCTTAAGTCCTTATCACTGAAAACTCCTCTGCATGTCCTCAACTATTTAAAATCCATGTTTCAAAGTCAAACAAGAAGAGGTACTCTTCATGAAAACAGGACTACTCTCTGATGTCACGTTTTTGAACTATGATGAGCTAGACACATTCAAAACATGCCATGTCCCTGTCTTCCCTCTTCCTTAGAGATCCAGGTGCTGGTGGTACAAAGACCCAAGGGCTATTTCTGATGTGGCCCAGCTGCATAACCTCAGCTCACACTCCAGAAGAAATTGTCAATTTATGAGAAGCAGCTGTGAGAAAGTCCATAGAGTCAAGTAAGAAGAAAAAGGAGAAACTGGAGAGAGATAGGATTGTTGAGATGGGGACTATTACCTGCTCAAGTAGGCAGGAGGCAAAACACCCACAAGGAAAAGTATAAATTCCTAAAGAAAAAAAAAATACTACGGAGGTGGAAGGTCTCTGACAGTAACTTAGTGACATCAGGAATTTGTTCCAGGGAGCAGCAGAGGCTGACCCTTCTCTTCTGGACTGATGCCTGCCTGGACCAATGCCTAGCTGGTTGGAAAACACTCTGAAGTATCTCATCAAGGAGATGGTGAGCATACCAATGCTTAGCCTAGGAGTTCATTAAATCCTCGCTATCTTTTGTATGTGTTAGCAAAGATATAACTGCTTTATATTTTTACACTGTCCTTGCAGTCTCTTTGAGAATGGCAAAAGGTGTCTACAGTGACACAAAGAGGGAGGTTTACAATAACAGGAAAAAAACCACCCACGTCAAACAAAAAGATTAGCCTTGCCAAGTGTGGAGTCACTTGACGACCTCCTGGAAATGGGGAGTACTTGGTAGCATGGGGATGTGGGCCTCCTGTTGCTCTAAAATCAGCTGGCCTTTGCTAAATGAAATCCTGTTTGCCTAGATGAGCAAGCAAAGCCTCTGGTTGTTGATTTAGTTATCCTGAACTCATCATCTCTCCACACGATCACATCATCCAGATTCGCAAGGCACTTTTCACATCAATACACTGCAATACAAAAAAGGTCACCTTCTTGCTAGTTAGGGAAATTCTCCTCTGATAATTTAGTAACATTGCAAGTTAGGCTATGAACTGTCTCCAATTATAGACTGTAATGTTCTTTTACTTGCCACTCGGGGAAAAAAACCCCAAACCAACCTGCTTGTATTTCTACTGCAGCCCAGCCAGTTGGTTGATGCCAAGTACTAATAATAGACCTCAAACCTTGTAACAACAGTTAGTAAGACCAGGCCTCAGGATTTGTCAGGCCTTGTCTGAACTTGAGCTTATTTTAGTTTGATCTGTATCCATAAAGAAACTTTAGCTTTGTCTGCAACTGCCTTTAAGTTGAAATACATGTTGTCAACAACATATATTTGAGTTACAAATTTGTAACAAAATTGTATAAGCTTGTAACAGTATCTTGGGGGGGGGCAGGGAATAAAAATAATCAAAGCCAAACCCCACATCCCCCGCCAAACCTCCCAGAACAAGAGAGCATTTCTGCCTGACCATGACACCAAAACCCCTTGCAAAAACTCCAATGCAAACTGAATGAATTAAAAACTGTCATTTGGGTAAATTTAAAACATGCAAACTTTTCTGTTCAGTGCATTAAGTGCTGGTGAGTGATTATTTTATACTACCGTCTGAGAAGAGAAAAATTGTGTGTTAATCACTTTATTTTCTTTTTTTTTTTTTCTTCCCCCAGTCTGCTCTGTTTCTCCTGATACTGCGGTACAGATCAAGATTGATACAGCTTATTCCTTCATGTTAAACAAATAGCAAAGGGGAAAAGACTACAAAAAAAAAATCCAGCAAGGATGGCAACACAGAATAAATCAACTTTCCCACCAATCTAAAGCTTCCTTCATACAGAACAGAAAGTTAACCTAATGGAAGATGACTGCGTCTGGGTGAGTCACCAGAAGCGGGTTTTTGTTACTGACCTTAGAATTAAGTCCTTTGCTTTCTCTGAAATGGGCACCTCTGGAGGAAATACCAACGTTTCTTTCCAGTTCATAACCTTCCTATAAGTCTCTTGTGGTGTTTCTGAACAGAAAGGTGGATACCCTGCACAAGCAAATAGAAAAATGAACAAGCTTTTCCCAGAAACGGGAAGTGAGCTGGGCCTCTGCTTTTGCCACTACAGCCCCAAATGTAACAAGTAGTACTAGACAAAAGTTTTCTCTTTTGTAATGCAACATTAAAGGTTGTTTTGTTATTTCCAAGTAATGAGACTGAATCTCAAGAACATTCATTTAATAGTTACTTGTTTCATTGAATAACTGTTAACACAGGCATCATCTCCTGCTGTCTTCTTGGAAAGGTAGGAGGACTTCAAAGTTTTCTGGAAGCTGAATTTGGGGCTTACTTTGGGTAGAATTGAATGAAATTCTGGTACATCCACTATGCAGGGGATCAGACTCTGTAAACTAACAGACCGTGTTACCTTTGAACGATTCTTAAGTTGGGGTCTTTAACATACCTATTAGCATTTCATACATAATCACTCCCAATGACCACCAGTCACACAGCTTGTTGTACCCAGTCTGCATAAATACTTCTGGTGCAATATAGTCTGGGGTTCCAACAGTAGAATATGCCTGGAAAAAAACCCAAACAACACTTTAAAAGATAAATACTATATTTTTACACTTTGCAAAACCTTTTCCTGGGAATTCACATACAGGATGTTGTTATTTGGATGCTTAATTTGAGAAGTCACAGCATCTAAATTCCCAAGAACATTATTCTTTTACATGAGTAAGCATAGAGAACCTTGAAAGTAAATGGAAATCATCCTCCTAAAGGTGATGAAATCATAGAATATTCCCACTGCAGTATTAGAAGGTCATCTTAGCTAAAGTTTCAGGTAGCTGCATTAATAAAATACCCAAAAAGTTCTGTTGTTGTTTTAGGTTTGGTTTTTTGGTGGGTTTTTGTTGTTGTTGGGTTTTTTGCCTTTTTTTTTTTTAAAAAAAGGGATGACCAGTGGTAGATTCCCATGTGTGACACTCATGATACACTAGCTGTTTCATGTATTTACCTTGCCTTTATTGCAAAATAATTTGAGCTCTTACTGGACCCAGGCTCTATCCTTTTAACCTTTTACATGTGCAGCCTAGATGATCCTGCCTAATGACTAAGTCTCAAGTTATTTGGGAATTTCTCTTTACTGACAGAAATTTTGCGGGGGGAGGGGGGAATAGTCAAAAAAACCCCAAACCCAACATAAAGCCACAAACCAAAAAAGTCCACCAAAACCAGTTTTGCCAGAAAAATCTTTTACTCTCATTTGTCTAGCCAGGAACAAAATACTTAATTTCATTGAACAGAGCCAAGACATTTAGTTTTGAACCAATGGAACACCAGGAATACAGTTCATTTTCAAGCAGTGTTGATACAAATTGAAACCTTGGCTCTTAGTATTCTCTCTGTTGGACTGTCTTATGACTCATCTAGTTTCACCACACAGTTCTGTCACGTCAGTCTTTACTGACCTGGAGATGTAGTCTTTTTAAGGATCTAACTCCAAGCGGGAGTAAGGGCGTGAAATACAGCCCCTATGAGGCAGCATGATTGCAATGTAATCTCATTATGTCTCATGAGGAAAGAAAACGCAACCCAAAAGCTTTTTTGGGAATACTGCAGCATCACTTCTTAAATACAGCGTGCAAAATAAAAAGTTCAAAAATTTGAAAACTGAGGGTTTTGCAACTCCTATTTGGTGAAAATCGTGAGCAGGGCTGAAATTCTGAAATCCCATGGCTGACAGATACTTTCCCTTCATTCAGTTAATGACAGAGCTCCCTTTATTACTTGATCACTCTTCACGATAAACCCAGGCTGCAACACTCCAGTGCCAATGCCCTCCACTGCCTTTCCATCATATTCCCATTCAGCAGATCGACAAAGAAGTTCTCCCTACAATTCTCTGAAAAAGACCTACGCAGCTACGCATCTTCTTGTGACACTAAACTGCGGAAATTAAACCCATGAGGTCACACACAGTGTCAATACCAGGTCAGTCTGAGAGACAAACTCAAGATACAGCTTTGCTAAGTGGTTGCTGACACCTGAGGTAAGTTAGTCGAGATGCTCATAGAGGAAACAAGGGCATAGAAAAGAGCAGGGTCCTGCTAGTCACAGCTCTGAAAAGAGACAAAGCAACCCCGATCTCTGAGCTATTCCACAACTGGAATCACTAAACCACCTTCTTTTGAGTTATTTGCAATTTTGGCAGCTTGGAGAGCAACATCTGTAACAGACTAGGGCCTTTCAGTTTTTAAAAACCAGTAGCATTGATGCTGAGTTTTTATTTAGCATTTTCTGTAAACAGTTTAAAAAAAGTTATACATAATTTTAACTCACCAGCTGTCGCCTGTTCTTCTTCCATGTTTCTGCTTTTCTCTTTGAGTTCATATTCTGAAATGCTAATTTACAAAATAGTTATTAGATAATAAATGCATTTGTGAGAATTAAAAGATTGATAACATTCTGTTTTCAAAGAGTAACTATTTTGTATGTTTAGAATGCTTTAGTCCAGAAACAAATGTTTGATTATAACTGGAGCTAGGAAAATGATCATGAATAACTACTGTCCGATTTGCAGCTGAAACTCATGTAAATAGGTCACATGATCAGCAATTCTAAATTAAAACTTGCTAAGAGTTTTACAGATTGATCCGAGATCAGCAGCACTTATTGTTGCAGCTGGCAATGTATATTCAGATACGGGCCATGGTTTTTTAAGCAACTAGTGAAGAATCCAAGAACAACTGCAGAGGAATTTTACATTTGTAAAATAAAACACTAACATGGATGTGTCACCAAGTCATGTTGATAAACAACTTTACTCTTAGGAAAAGCTTAATGAGATTGCCACTGACTTCAGTAAGTCAGCACGTGAAACCGACGTCCCTTCTGAATTTTTTCACTAACATTGTTATGAAAAAATACATTAAAATATAGATACACTATGTGTATTTGTATTTGTGTATGAATGTACAAAAATACATTAACACTGCAGAAATCATAATTTCTTTCCTGTGAAATGCTTCCATGTTCCGGGGAATGTGTATTTCCAGTTTTCCAATTAAATGCAATCAGCCTGACCAATCTTGCTTATCCCAGCAGAAACAAATTATGATGTGGCATAGCTCCAGCTCAGAAACTTTTGACTGTTTAACTAGGACACCTTATACTTACAGAAGTCACTTGGCGGGTTGTGTGTAAGGTTCCTGTAGAACTCAGTTCTGTGAGCTTTCTTTAAACCTGTGCATAGCCCAAAATCAGACAGTTTTACATGACCCTAAAAAAATAAATACGTAAATAAAAAAAAAATCAGAGAAGATGAAAACATAATTTAGAAAGGTAGTGCTTGAAAAAAAGTTTTAATAACTGCATGTGCCTTCTGACGGACTTGCACAGGACTACCTAATCCGGGACCAGTAGGCAAATGACGACTGAATCTTGGTGTACTGCGAGAGTGTGTTTTCCCTCTCAAACAGGTTATTGCCCCCTGGGAATGGTTACTTCTACAATTCTCCAACAGTAGAGGACAGCTAATCTGCCTGGGTTTGTTTTGAACTGGATACCACTGAGACTGAGAAAACCTCCAGGACAAAATTCCTTTGTTTTGTTTTGATGGTAGTCTGGCTTTAATCGCGTTTCTAGACATCAATGCTAGATAGTCTACAGACTTGGGTATGATGCTTAGTGGGTCCATTTCTGGCTTGCTCTAGTCAGTCTAACAGACAAAGTGTTTCTGTTGGTGAGGAGGTAATAAAACAAATGAGATAACTGTAATAAACTGAACTGATTATTTAGCATTGTCTGAATGTTTCATGCTTTCATTTGTCTTGAAGTAACTAAGTGCATCAGTTTTTAATGTTTTTGAATATGAGCATCTGTACACTTCTCACTTAAAAGGCTTGCCTTATAAAGGGTTAAAAGGCTTTCCAACAAAAAAAAAGGGCCGTTTGCTTTGGTTTATATTGGCGTTCTACAAGGAAAAGATAGTGACCATTTTCTGCCTTTACTCCAGCTAGTTTAAATCACTGGTGCGGCACTACCGGTTCCCACTGATCAGCACCACTATAAATGGCATTATCTGCAGGCCAAGATGTTTAAAGCATAGGCAGCTCACATGCAGCATTACATGCCTTAGCATCCAGCAGAAGGTTATCTGGTTTAATATCTCTGTGGATGAATCCCAGCTGGTGAATAGCATCTATGGCCAACACAGTTTCAGAAATGTAAAACTGTGTCTCCTCTTCTGATAAGGTGTCTTTCTTCATTAGCAAGGTCATCATGTCGCCTAATCAAAGAAGAAAATAACAGCTCAGAAATCAGAACATTTCAATCACAAGACTAATTCTATGTGAAACCCCAGTAGAATCCAAATTTAACCTTGTAACTGGCCTTATAGCTACTAATTATAAAACTATTACTGCAAGGACCTACAAACCCAACATACTTTTTTAGTAAACGGGATGTAAACCTGTTGAAAATCCTAAATAGGGATTTTAATTGGATAGCCCAGGAAGAGATAGTGAATTTTAATACATAATACACGTGTTGCACAAATAAGCTGTTTAAACAAGAGCTTTTTTTGTTTGCTTGTTTTTGCTGTTAATATCTTCAGCAGTAAAAAGGAGAACATTGGATTATAATAATGATTGGATCCATGTCTATTTTAACACCTCTTCATAACCTTCTTCCCCTAAAAATCAGGAATGGTTACATTACTGGGACTTCAATTTAAAACAGTGTTAAAATTTCTATTTTCACCAGTTAAACAGCATGCTTATTTATAACATTTTATGAAGCTGACAACAGAAGCTAAGGAAGAAGTACTTGTATCACCGAACACCACTACGTACAGCTTACCTCCAGGTAAAAACTCCATGATCAGGTAAAGATTTCTTTTATCCTGAAAGCTGTAAAACATTTTCACTACCCAGGCTCCATCCGCTTCAACCAAAATATCTCTTTCTGCTCGGATATGGGCCACCTAAAATTTTTTTTAAATTACTATTATTAAAGGAAAATTTAAATATTTCAATGACAAACACCATATTATATTCCTAGTCCTACAATATATTTTCATGATCTTTAGCAAAGAAACTATTTTTCATGCTCTTTTCATACTCATATTTTTCATAATTTTTTACTAAATCCTATGAAGTCCTCACAAAATACCCACCAGAAACCCACAGAAGTCAACTCAATGTTGAAAATAACCGTTTACACAGCTTTGCAGAAGCAATCTCTAGAAACACAACACATAACTTGTTAAGCTGGTTTTGTTTGTTGGAAAGAACTGACAAAGCTGGTGGAAAAGTACAATTCCCTTTTTTTACTATACCCTAAAATGAAATAGGAATACTCAAAAAAGTTACAGAGCTTTATGTGGTGGTGACCATACTGCAAGCTCAGACAAAAATTTAACGTACAACTCGAGGTGCAAATGCTGACGAAATTATTGAAAGAGGCCAGAGCTGGTCTTAAAGAATGCAAGAACCAAGACGCATTATGATTACTGTCAGAAGTTACCAGATCTCTCATACACATATACAAAGAAACAAAGAGCTAACAGCTACTTCTATATAGATATCTCACAGTTTAAACTTGGCAAGATAAGCCAATCTTCTCTAGCAAGAGCGACAGAGCATCTAAACTAATTTCATCCTGCAAAGAGAAGAGAGAAATGCCTGACTTAGAATGAACTACTGTCTAGTTCCCAAACCCACATTGTACACACCGCTGCTGGTGCGTGAACCCCTTCCAGATGGATGGTACATGGAGACCGCTCCTGTGCGTGTACGTGGCAAACCTTGACCTGCATGACAAGTGTCTTGGCCAAGTGGGAAAAGGGCTGGGATGAGTTTCAGCCCTTAGAGATGACGGCAGGTAGCAACGAGCTTAGTGACCAGTATTAAAGCAGTGCAAAAATGGTAAGGGACTTGGGCTATTTAAGGGGGGGGGGAAGGAAGAGAAGGTGGAGCCATTCCTCCAAGTGATGTACATGAAGCTGGCCCAGAACTGATAAAGCCACCACTGCTGCTGCTGCTGGTCCTGGGCAAGTGAGTTTGGGAACGTCTGACCTTGTTCAAGATATTCCAGTTCCAGCTGAGGCTTTGAAAAAATACATGGAGAGCTGCTACCCCATGAATTCACTGGAAACTAAGAATAATGGAGACTGGAGGAGGGGTGTGTGTTTCAGTAGAATGTACCCTCATCCTGAAGGAAAATGAAAGACATATACATGGGAAAAGTATTTCCTGACAGCTATAAGATTTTCATTATTCATACACCAGAAAGCAACTTCTGGAGAGAAAATATGTATCACTGTTCCAGCTTCAAGGGCTATTTCCAATAAGCAGCAATCAATCTTCTGCATCTCTTTCCCAGTTCTAATGGCCAGGAGTTTCTTTACATGTATGTGTTCTTCTCACAGGGCGATGAGTTCTCTCTCTGTAGTAGGCACTCCAACTTTGATTTACCTAGCTCTATCTATATTTCTTTCCACCCTCCACTCCTCAATGTAGCTATAAAATATAATGATAAAACCATGCTTAAAAAAACAGCTGCAATATCTCCCAGTGCTATCAGGCTTGGGGAAAAAAAAAAAAAAAAAAAAAATCTTAATTTTTCTTGTATTTTTATCCTGTGTTGTTTTCCACTGAACAAACCAGGCAATGAAAATTACAGCAGATAAACACTCTCCAAGGAAGATTACCGTCCCAAATGAAATGGAGAGTGTGAGCTCAGCCTCCTTGCCACATCAGGTTATGAAATAGGGGCATGGCTTCAACCAGAGGGCCTCACACATCCTGGCTGCTGGGCAGAACACGCTGCTCCTCTGGTTCCCTATATTCAGGGCATGGGCTTGAAGACACAAAAAGTCTGCGCCAGGAAAAAAAAAAAATGAAGTACAAGTAACACTGCAGGGAAATGTATTATGAGAGCAAATGATGGGTAAGGTTTGGACTGATAAGGACAAGTCCTCTTTTATCTGCCCTTTTGCTTGAGACATCCACACCTAATTTCTTTCTCTGTGGTGCTAAAGTACTTGCTGTGTCCTACCAGGAATTTGCAGTGAATTGTTAACTAAAAAGTAAAAGCAAAAACCAAACCAAACTAACAAGAGCAAAACAAAGCAAAACAAGACAAGACCCAACTGAAAAAGCAAACCAAAAGTAAAACAAAGCCAATGAAAAATGTCACATCTGCTGGTATCTAACCATCAAAAGAAAACATCAAATACTCTCAGTTTTTACCTTGGCACCATATTACTTTTCAAGAAGCATTTTCCTTGAAATGCAGTTTTGCAGATTAAGTACTATACGGTCTGTGTTGATAAAGAAAGGGAGAGAAAAAAACCCAAACCAACAAAAAACCCTTTGTCACTATTCCAAATTGTAAATAAAACATTTTTTAAAATGTCGTTACATGACCTTTTTTCCTAAGTTCTATTTATTATTTTGTACTGTGGTAGCAACTCCATAAATGCTTTGGACTGCTATACCATTATTTAAGGCTTCTGAAGTAGAAAATATGACCAAATAGTACCTGCCACAAAGAACTTCAGCAATTTTCTAGACAGCATAAGTTTGAAATGTAGGGCACTTATACGACACAAACCTGCTCTTTCTCCAGCATATCTGCTTTTCTTAGTATCTTCATTGCATAAATATGACCTGTATCCTTCTTCTGAACGAGGCGTACCTATAATGAGAAATATAACCCAATCAATCTTCTCTACCTCAGAAACTAGACCCCACCAAGGAATCTACTGGAAGGCTCAAAATTGCTGGGCTTGGAAAAGTTCATTTGTTAAGCATTTAAAAACACACGGAAAAACAAAATATTTCTACACTATGTACAACACTAACACTAGTGATGAACAGATAGTTCGAAGTAGTTACTGTTTTAGGAGAAGCTAGAAGGCACAGTAAATTCCAGGTAGCTGTGAGACTGTGTACGCTAAAATTCAGGAGTGGATAATAACTGATGTGACACAGGGCAGGGAGGATGTTTCCAGAGAGGAGCTGTGCAGCTGCAAATCCATCATTTCAGGGGGCCATGTGAGCAACATCAGTTTGAGCAGCTGTGGGAAACTAAGGGCCTTTCCAGGGGCCTTGACAAATCGATGCACGTAATTCATCACTGGACTTATCACACTTGCACAATTACTCAAATAACTGTTCTTCTGCAATAAAACTCCTCAACTGGAACTTTTTATTCTGTAATTAAAATGTTTCATTTTAACATTCAATCCAATTTTAATATCCTGTTCAAGCAAGAATGCCACAAACCTCCCCAAATGCTCCTCTTCCTATAACTTTCAAAGACTCAAAGTCATCCAAGCCAAGTCTAGTCCTCTTCAGTCGCAGAAACTCTGTTTCTTTGCGAGCGTGTTGTGACCTGCGCAGTTTTTTCTAATGAGACACAAATGTATACGTCATTTGACAGTAGAGAGTCAAGATATACAATCTCCCTTCCTGTGAAGTATTCTCTCTCCTGTTGGGATTACACAGAAAACGTAAATGGAGGAGTCTCTCTCAATTTCTCAAAGTATGATCCACGAGCACGGTCTTTTACACAGAGGCCTCAGGCCTGCTTTCATTTGGGGGGGGAATTGTTGGTTTTGTTTTTTTTTTTTATTTACTTAAATATAAAGAAACAGTAATAAAAATAATGAAAAAAAAAAAAATCATACTGGTTCAAACAAAGTACATCAGTCCAAAGCCAAAGTCACTAGCTGAGAAAAGCACTCTTGGTTTTGGGCAGCGCAAAGGATCAATAAAAGCTGAAACTTGCACCCCACTGTAAAGAGTGATGGCAGGCAACAAGGAGCCTAATAGGCAGCAGAAATCCAACTTATGCTATCTATAGCAAAATCCATTTGGTTTATAGCAGGCAAACACTCGTATTTGAATGAAAAATCTGTCCAAATCCTGTCATATATTTTGTTCTATAAAAATGTCAAAAGGGATTCACCCTGAGAAACAAACGCCGACCTGTCCTCCCGAAGATGCTGAGATGTGAAAGACTGCTAACCAGATCCAATGAGCAGGCACTTGCCAGATTTTGTATTAGGATGACAGTGTCATTTAAAACCACAAGATGGCATTACGCACCCACTCTCGCTTTTCCCTCTTCCCACAAGTTACGGCAGCCACATAAACTCAGAAACGACTAAGGCACTTGTTCCTACTTATATTCCCTGCCTATCCTGAAGGCAGTACAGGCAGCAATGGTGTGATGGACCTCAGAAAAGCAACTTATTGACCAAAGTTCTGAGAGATGCCAACTGAACAGAGATCCCTGCTCATCTGTATCCAAATGGAGAAAGGGTATGCCCAGTTTACTGTTTAAATCAAGAAAAAAAAGTGGTTCAGCATTTTGTTTTCTATCCAGTTCTTCCAAGCACATCTCACCTTTTTTTTCTTGCCAAATATAATGGCAAATAATTTTAATCTTTGAAAAGCATGCTATATACTTGCTGCAGGCACACGTCTGCTAAGGACTACAGGTGGCATGAAAAGCCTTAGCTATTCCAAGTATCACTCAAGCATATTCACAGCTTCCGTAACAAACAAGTTATTTACAGGGGCAACATTCATTTACAAAATAAAACTTAATGTCATGCTAGTCAACGTATCTGTAAGCTCTGCAAATACCAATTTGTAGCATGACAAAAGCAAAGCAGTCTCTTCAAAGGTTACTTAAGTAGTATTTACCTCCTCATCTGCGAGGCCTTCCTCTTCCATAGCCACTTCTAGCTTCTTCTGCCTGTGAAGGGGAGAAACAGGAGATTGCTTTTTTCATTATTTATTAAGTAATAAAAAGCATAACACTACAGCAAGACAACTTCTCTACTTGATGTATTCCAGATACCAAAGAATTTGCCTCAAATGGTAATCAGAAGACTTACTGCCCACTCTATCCATTTACTCATGGGTTACCAAAGCTGTTGAAAATGTGTAAGCAAATTAAAGCACATAATTACGTATCTGCAGAATTGGGCATTAAAGGTCCAAATGTATAATCACTCTAATGACTTATATTTCTTCATATAATCTTGTTGAAGTAAGGCTGGTTTCATCAATTAAGATTATGAATCAGAACAAACTTTCTTTTTCACCATTTCTATCTCAGCTCTACCTCCAACACCTCAGCCAGCTCCAGCTTTCGCCCCCAGTCCCAGCCTTGCTGACCTCTCCCTGGTCCTGCTCCCCTTACTCTCGTGCCAACTAACTCCACCCCTGTGGATTCATCGTTCATCTCCCCACAGTGTCCTGCCCAGGCCAGGGCTCAACGGTCTTGGGGCTCCTCCAGCCAGTGCCATGCCAGGCTGGGAAGGTCTGAATGGGGAGTGAAGCCTGGGACAACCCCACAGATGGCAGAGGGTCAGCATGTGGCAAGGTGTCTATTGGACCCCTCTTTTTCCACCCACAGGATGCTTCTTTACAACTGTCAGGGCGCAGCTTTCATGCAGCTGATTACCCACTAGCAGCAGCCGAGAGTTTGAGGGCTGTGTGCCAGGCTGCTGGTGTCTTTCTGCTCTTTGGGAAGTACAGCAGGATCCCCTAAATTAAAGGCCCTCAGTAGACAGCCTATTCTCCCAACCAGAAGCAACTCAATTACATGGGATAGTGACTAAACACGATGAAGAGAGAAACCCTGCTGCTCGGCTGAAAACCCCTCAATTAAAAACATATTACCAGGGGAACGATCATTTAACATGCTGATGACAATTTGAAACACAACATTCATTATAATCAAATGCTTGGTGCTTTGACACTTAATTCAAGTAGCACTTCACCACATTGGAGGCAGAATTGGGCACGGATGAGAAAAGTTAAAGTGGAGATGACCAAGGCATACTCCCATGCAAGGAGTACCAGCCAACACCACCCAGGAGAAATTTAGAGGTGGGTATTATGTTACCTCCAAAATTCTTCCTGCCCACCCAAGAGCCTCTCAAGCCCTCCATCACCAGCCCTATGCTCTTTACAGCCCCTAACTTCCACCCCAGACCACCCCCAGCTCTCTGCTTCCTTTCCTTACCCCATCACCCTGTCAAACACCTCTCCTATCAGTCCTGTTCCCTCCCTCCTATACACTCCCTTCGGCAGGGTTTATGAGTCTTGGCATGAGCTTTATGCTGCAGAGCACGAATAGACACCACGAGCCACTGCCTTACACAAAACCAAATTACCGCCCATCAGCAGCTCTGCAGCATCTACCTCTGTAGAGTTTATTCCCTCTGGCACGCATGGAGAAATCAGA